GCTCTGATTCCAGGACGTTCGCCGCGTTCAAGGCGTCTCTGAGGTCATTCTCCAAGACGCGCTCTTTTGCTTTCGCTCCGTTGAGTTCGCTCTGGAAGTTAAACGACGCCCCAAGATGCGGCGCCGGGCGACGCGAATTGCCACATTTGTGCGCGCAAAAAAGAGCATCCGCAGCGACGACAATTGACGCAATTCTACACGCGTTTGCAAACGATAACGCTCACAGGGAAGTGTTGCGCGGGTTATTATTTTACCCGTAGATTTAAGAAACGTTCGAAATACCTTGCTTTCGTTTTTCAGCGTTTCCATGGCGGCTATCCGCTGTTCCATTTGACAGACGGCTTCTTGGAGTGAAGCTCTCTCTCGTTTGAACGCGTCTAAGGATTCCTTCACGCAAGACACGACACGAGACCAACACCTCCTACGATACCCCAAGATGTGTTTATTGCACCACGGTGGGCGTAAGCTCTCGGATGCCGTAGCAATAGGTTTTACCCTTTTAACTGGCACCAAAAACTTACACCTTTATTCAAGGCATCATGTCTGCAATAACCGCAACACAAGCAGTCAAAATGCAAACAAAAAGACAACTCTGATAATGATATTGGCACTGTCCTTGAATTTGATTGGTCCACACCCGAGACGGCTTTTCTTAGAGCCTAGTCTCCACTGGTGTTGGACCAGAAGACGCCAAAAGGCGTACAACTCAAAAACAACGCACTATCAGAGTATTGAAGGCTCGGGGTGAGCATTTACATTATGAGACCTCCTTTGCCAGTAACAAGATATAGTAATAGGTTTTTACCCTTTTAACTGGCACAAAAAACTCAAATTCAAGGACAGTGCCAATATTATTATCAGAGTTGTCTCTTTTGTTTGCATTTTGACTGCTTGTGTTGTGGTTATTGCAGACATGATGCCTTGAATAAAGGTGTCAGTTTTTCGTGCCAGTTTGAAAGGGTAGAACCTATTACTATATCTTGTTACTGGCAAAGGAGGTCTCATAATGTAAATGCTCTCGGATGCCGTCTGAACGTTCCCTTTCTCTCCCCCCTTCCCCCCCCCCACGTGCTCCCCGAGCCTCTCGGGAGCCCAACGTGAAACGCCTTGCCAAGCAAAACAAAAAATATTGGGACGCGACCCAAAGGCCGTTGTGAGCACAGCGACGGAGACCGACGCAGTGGCCGGCGTTCCGTGTTTGATAAAATCGAAAAGCATCGTTAGACCTCCTTTGCCAGTGCCAAAATATAATAATATAATAGGGGTTTTCCCCCTTTTTTCTGGCAACGAAACTGAAACCTTTTTTTACAAGGATTCATGTCGCTGCATCGACCACAATACCTGCAGTCAAAACGCAAACAAAAAAACCTACTATGATAATATATATGTGGCATTGTCCTTGAAACTGATTGGTCCACACCTAGGGATGGCTTTCTTTTGAGCCTCGACCCAATTGGTGCTAGACCACATGACACCAAAAGGCGTCACACAGCTCAAAGACAATGCACTATCAAGGTAATGAGGGCTCGGGGTGAGCATCTACATCATTGGACCTCCTTTGCCAGTGCCAAAATATAATAATATAGGGGTTTTCCTCCTTTTTTCTGGCAACAAAACTGAAACCTTTTTTTACGAGGAGTCACGTCGCTGCATTGACCACAATATACCTGCAGTCAAAATTCAAACAAAAAACCTACTATGATAATATATGTGGCATTGTCCTTGAAACTGATTGGTCCACGCCAAAAGGCGTCACACAGCTCAAAAACAATGTACGCCTTTTGGCGTCATCTTGTCGAGCACCAATTGGGTCGAGGCTCAAAAGAAAGCCGTCCCTTGGTGTGGACCAATCAGTTTCACGGACAATGCCACATATATATTATCATAGTAGGTTTTTTGTTTGCATTTTGACTGCAGGTGTTGTGGTTAATGCAGTGACGTGAATCCTCGTAAAAAGATTTCAGTTTTATTGCCAGAAAAAAGGGGAAAAACCCTATTATTATTATAAATCGAAAAGCGATTGTGTTTTTTTTTTGGGTAACAAAGTGCGAGCCCCAATACGGCAACGCTGCATAGCTTGCTCAAGCAGGTGACTTCGCTGGCGGAAAACAATCCCAACGCAATTGAACCATTTCAGAGAAGTGGGGCGGGTGGGAAGATAAATCTAAATCATTTAATGTAGCTGCTACAAAGCTTTGGAACCATCTAGCATCGTCTCTTAGCACCTTCACTCTGTCATCTCTGTCCTCACCTAAACCGACTGTTAAGATCACAAAAGTTTCAAATGTGAATGTAAATAGTACAATCTAATTGATTTATTTTAAAAATGTAAACCTGTGTAATTGTTCAAATAGAATGATTTGCTGAGCCACCATTGACAAAGGAGCTTTTTTGGCTCATTGGGCTTTACTTGGCTAATGAACTTGTGAACTACAATCGCGACGTTGAACGTCGTCCGCTCTTCTGGCTGATATTGCGATAGACGACATTGAAATGTGCTCACCAGCGTTTCGCGATGTTTCACGTCGTTATTGTCGCTTGCAATCTTCAAATTATCTAAAAATAATAATCGAGTGATAATATTAATTAAGGATTACCAATAAACGTTGGACAACGATGAAAATATATTAAACAGACGTTAACAATGTACACTCCTGATAGAGGTCAAATGTCGCACGTGCGATAAATAATTAACACTCGCAATGGTCACTGACACTCTCAAAACGTTGCCTACCTATTTCTGTATTTTTTTCACGAATATTTCTTTCAAGCCTGCTACGAATCTCAGCTTCTTCGCTGCGCCTGATAAAAAAAACATAACAAGACATCTGCCTCATTTAATTGTTTAAAAAAATGTCATACGCAATGCAGCACACAATCAATGCAAGACGAAAATCGTCCCCGTGTAGCCTTAACAGACTGTTGGGTCAAGTGCTGCTCGCGAGCATCATTGAAGGCCGGCACGGTACACGAGGGGGTGGGTGGCCAGCACCACGCCCGGCCGCCTTTGTCTCCCCAGTGGCGATGTTCACACACCGCACCAGGGTACTCATTTGAGGCCGAGTTGAGTGGAGGCCCGGGACCGGTTCGGATAATCGTCACGCGGACGTTGTGTTCGTGATGTGCGGCAGAAGCCAGATTAAACGATGCAGAAAACTGCATCGGTGAACAAACTGTACTCTATTATTGGTTCTTTTGGTAAAGTCACCACGTAGAAGGGAAACAATAAAATAATAAAAATATAAAACGATAAAATTCTCACGTGTGAAAACCACATATCAAGAAAATTTTCTTGCAGTGGTTTTCACACCTGAAGACGACCGTTTGAGTAATGGTCGAAACGTCGTGAGAATTTTTAATTGTTTTATATATATTTTATTATTTTGTTGTTTCCCTTCAACGTGACTTTACCGAAAAAACTAATATGTACTGTATTTGTTTTGCTTTACAGATACAACAACAGTCAGAGATGTTCTACGCAATGCAGCGCCTTCCCCTTAGTAGCTCCCAACGTCTGAAATTCACAAACTTGAAAACTCGCTAATAACTTAATTGGGAGAAACACGAAGCAACTGTCGCCCCCTACTGCAAAATAATTGCAGACCCAGCGCATCGTGGCTGCTTCTCCCTCTCCCCCCTCCTCCGTTCCGAACAATGATGGACTCGTCCGTCTGAACAAAGCTCGTCGCTTTCCGTGGTGCTAACGTTGAAACAAGGAAAAAATAAACCGGCATGCTAATCCCTCACACTAACATTCTGCCTTTAACATCCTGCTAATCCAACACATTAACACAGCTATTTCAATGCTAAATTGTTCTGTTGATATGTAAACTCGGACTTTAACACCCTGCTAATCCAACACATTAACACAGCTACTTCAATGCTAAATCCTTCTGTTGATATGTAAACTCTGATTTTAACATAGCTACTTCCGTGACCAGTCACATGCTGATCCCTCACACTAACATCATGCTAATCTCCCAGTTACATGCTAATTTCTGACTTTAACATCTTGCTAATCCAACACATTAACACAGCTACATCAATGCTAAATCCTTCTGTTGATATGTAAACTCGGACTTTAACATAGCTACTACCGTGACCAGTTACATGCTAATTCCTCACATTAACATCCTGCTAATCTCCCAGTTACATGCTAATTCCTCACATCAACATCATGCTAATCTCCCAGTTACATGCTAATTCCTCACATTAACATCCTGCTAATCTCCCAGTTACATGCTAATTCCTCACATTAACATCATGCTAATCCAACACGTTAACTTAGCTACTTCAATGCTAAATCCTTCTGTTGATATGTAAACTCCTTCGTCAAGGGGCTCTGCTCCTCCCACCCAGCTTAAAAGACACTGCCAAGCTTAGCAGTGTTCACTCGAGCGTCGTCTTCCCGACAGTTCTGTTCCTTCACCTAAGGAAGGCTACTTGTGTTGTGGCCGAAACGTCATGAGAATTTTATTTTATGTTTTATTTTTATTATTTTATTTCCATTCTACGTGGTGGTGACTTTACCGAAAGAACCAAGAATATGAATCCCTGCAGTCACGAAAGCTTTAAATGGAAATTTAAACTGTACTGTATTTTGATTTAAAGCTTTCGTGACTGCAGTAATTCATATTCTTAGTTTTTTCGGTAAAGTCACGTTGAAGAGAAACAACAAAATAACAAAATATATATAAAACAATAAAAAAAAATTCTCACGACGTTTCGACCATAACTCAAACGGTCATCATCAGGTGTGTCGGTTTGCATAAATTTATTTAGAAAACGGCATATTTATTTATTTATATATATAAAAATAACGTTTGCGTCACGCGCAACGATTGGCTGTTTGCCAGGACTAGTCCATCTATGTTTTGAAAAGAGGAGGGGGGAGACGAAATTTGTTTTTATGTATGCTGTCTGAAAGCCACTGTAAGCGTGAACAATCAATCAAGAACTGAAATGATTTATCAAATCTTTCCAATGATTGCTAAGATAGAATCCATCTTCTCGGTTGAAATTGTCTCTGTGTTTGTATATGTGGATAGCCTCATGAACGAATCTCTCATGGAAGCCAGATGGCTTACAAAGAACCTCCGTCTTGGAAAAGTCAATGGCATGTGAGCCTACTGAATTAGAACAATGATCTGCTACGGCCGAGTTCACTGCTACGGCCGAGTTCACTGCTTATGTGTTCCTGGTCGGATATGCATATATGCATATCCTGCATATATGCATATCCGACCAGGAACACATAAGCAGTGAACTCAAGCACGTACACCAAGCTCTTAGGGCTAATGGTTACTCCGACTATACAATCCGCAAAGCTATCACTCAAACCATGAAGAAGAACCCTCTTGAGGAGCCTTTCAAAACCATCACTTTACCCTACATTGCTGGGATCACAAAAAAGATCTCCAAAATCTTGAATAAACACAAGATCCAGGTCCGTTTCAACACATTACATAAAATCCGTGATCTGGTTCCGTCTGTAAAAGATGTGATTCCGGACATACAATACCCTGGTGTCTACAAACTAAGTTGCCTCTGTGGTAGTAGTTACATTGGAGAAACCAAACGCCATATCTCGGACCGCATTCGTGAACATAAAGCAGACCTTAAACACGGTAGGACCAACACCTCGGCCGTAGCAGATCATTGTTCTAATTCAGTAGGCTCACATGCCATTGACTTTTCCAAGACGGAGGTTCTTTGTAAGCCATCTGGCTTCCATGAGAGATTCGTTCATGAGGCTATCCACATATACAAACACAGAGACAATTTCAACCGAGAAGATGGATTCTATCTTAGCAATCATTGGAAAGATTTGATAAATCATTTCAGTTCTTGATTGATTGTTCACGCTTACAGTGGCTTTCAGACAGCATACATAAAAACAAATTTCGTCTCCCCCCTCCTCTTTTCAAAAAATAGATGGACTAGTCCTGGCAAACAGCCAATCGTTGCGCGTGACGCAAACGTTATTTTTATATATATAAATAAATATGCCGTTTTCAAAATACATTTATGCAAACCGACACACCTGATGATGACCGTTTGAGTTATGGTCGAAACGTCGTGAGAATTTTTTATTGTTTTATATATATTTTGTTATTTTGTTGTTTCTCTTCAACGTGACTTTACCGAAAAAACTAAGAATATGTACTGTATTTGTTTTGCTTTACAGATACCACAACAGTCAGAGATGTTCTACGCAATGCAGCGCCTTCTCCTTAGTAGCTCCCAACGTCTGCAATTCACAAACTTGAAAACTCGCTAATAACTTAATTGGGGGAAACACGAAGCAATTGTCGCCCCCTACTGCAAAACAATTGCAGACCCCCTTCTAAACGTGAACACTGCGGGGCAGTGTCCTTCACTGCAAGGCCGGCGGGCCACGAGCGGCCCCTGGTGGCCTCTTGTGCGGCCCCTGACAATACCCAGATCTGAAATCACCTCCCCATCGTCGTCGTCGTCGTCGTCCTCGTGTGCTGCTGTCAAACCCAGCGGTGTTAAAACGTGTGGCGGCCCTCACGCTGTACCGTGTCTTATCGGCGGACGTGCCCCACCCCCCCCGACCCGCCCTCGCCCTCCGCCACCTCTGAAAATGAGTGAAGAACACCGCCGTGGGGCTTTCCTGCGTCAACCAGCGTAGTACGTGACAATAGCGACGCAACGATAATTAACATCTTCTTTGGTTCTTTCGGTAAAGTCACCATCACGTAGATTGAGAATAAAATAATAAATTGATAAAATGACACGATAAAATTCTCACGACATTTCGGGCCACGACACAAGCGGCCTTCATCAGGTGAAGGGACGAGAATGTCTGGAGGACAGCGCTGGAGCGCTGAGGCAGTCTCGTCCCTTCACCTGATGAAGGCCGCTTGTGTTGTGGCCGAAACGTCGTGAGAATTTTATCGTGTTATTTAATTTTATTAATTTATTATTTAATACAATTAATCCTTGCAGTCACGAACGCTTTAAATCGATGATTAATGTCTCGGCACGCGCCACGTTCCATGTTGTAAAAGTTCACCACTTGCCTCTGGCTGGCTGCTGCTGTCAACTCTTCGTTTGCCTTCTCCAGGTTTTGCACAATCACGTTCAGGTCCCGACGTTCGTGCTGCAGCTTGTCGCACGACAGCCGCTGCCCCGCGGTGCTTGCGGTGAACTCTCGCTCCTTCTCCGCAAAACTTCTCTCCGCGTTTTGCATCCCAGCCTGCATTCAGACCGTACGATGATGAAATCGATGAGGCGGGTGACCCGCTGCATTTGTTCAGATACAGTGAAAAAAGCTTGAGACTTTTCCAAAAAGGCTAAGAGAAAACCATTCCTTATTCTTGGTTCTTTCGGTAAAGTCGCCACGTAGAAGGGAAACTATAAAATGATTAAAATATCAAACAATTAAATTCTCACGACGTTTCGACGGCAACACAAGCAATCATCATCAGGTGTGAAAACCACAGCAAGAACATTTGGAATAAGTGGCGGTGAAAAATGTTTCTTGCTGTGGTGTTCACACCTGATGATGATTGCTTGAGTTGCCGTCGAAACGTCGTGAGAATTTTATTGTTGTATATTTTTATTATTTTATTGTTTCCTTTCTACGTGGCGACTTTACCCGAAAGAACCAAGAATATGAATCCCTGCAGTGACCAAAGCTTTAAATCAAAAAGAAAACCATTCCGTTAAAAATATCCAGTTAAGGAATGCAGACAATATTAGCGATGTAATAAATATGAACGGATACATATTCTTAGCTCTTTCGGTAAAGTCACGTTGAAGGGAAACAATAAAAATAATAAAATATATATAAAACAATAAAAATTCTCACGACGTTTCGACCATAACACAAACGGTCATCATCAGGTGTGTCGGTTTGCATTAATGTATTTATTTTTAAAACACCGTTTAAACACCGTTTAAAAATAAATAAATTAATGCAAACCGACACACCTGATGACGACCGTTTGTGTTATGGTCGAAACGTCGTGAGAATTTTTCTTGTTTTAAATATATTTTATTATTTTGTTTCCCTTCAACGTGGTGACTTTACCGAAAGAGCTAAGAATATGAATCGCTGCAGTCACGAAAGCTTTAAATAAAAAAAATGAACGGATAGGTCACCTGCAGCGTGCTTTCAATTTCCCGACGGCGATTTACTTCGAGTTTCAGGGTACCACTTTCTTTCTGCATTTGCTCAAGCCGTGCTTGAAAGTTGCCTGTTAATTCACGCAAAACAAATGAAATCGGGATCGACTTTCACGGTCGGGACGTGCAGACATTTGCCCACCGCGCACACGCACAAACACATCCGGGCTCGTTGGCAATAAAAAGCGGGCAACTTGAAGTGTGCTCTCACGCTCTGTTTCTTCGAGTCGAGCGCAGCTTTCAATGGAATCTTGCAGCTTTTGCGAGGCCATTTTGAGCTCTTCATTTTTTAACTCCAACAGCTCGGACATTTCTTTGGCCTAAGAGCGAAAAGACGGAACTCTCTGTTTGCTAACTACTGAACGACAAAGATAATAATACGACTTTACGCACGGATCTATGAAATGACCTACTGCTGGGCAAGGCGAGTTTTCTGGTTTGAAAGTCATCATTGAAGTCAGATAAGTTGTGTTTACCAGACTGAAATGAACTTGAGAAATCAAGACAAAGAGGTCGAAATGTGCAGATCCCATATATTTCGTTGAACAAATGCGTTTAGGGCACTGAATACGTTCTAAAGTGGAAATAATTCACATTTTAAGCATTATATTGTTATACAGACGTTTGTAAATTGTAAAAGCAATGTATGAACACTGTACACAATGGCAATAGTAGGCGTTAAAGGCAATAGTATGGGATAGGAACATTAATATATCAGTTTTTATTTGAAGGTGATCTTGATCTTCAAAGGATATTTTATGATTGAGACAGGCATGCCTTTAGGAGCTGCATTTCTTACATTTGAAATCAACAAAAATTAATGAGCCTGAATTATAACAGACCCTTGGGGTTTGAGCTATATATATACACACTGGTTTGTAAAAGGTAATGCATGGTCATTTAATCCAATTTTTTTTTTATCCCAACGTGCATTTAAAATGTGAGCAAAAGCGATCAGCTCGTGGATTCGCCCGAACATGGCTTTCTTTAATCGTCAACTTGTTTACAAAGTCCCACCGCGCTCTTTCCATTTCTTCCACAGCTGCTTCCACTGCGTACGACACACGCGTCATGCATTTAAAATGTGAGCAAAAGCGATGAGCTCATGAATTCGCGCGAACCTGGCTTTCTTTAATCGTCAACTTGTTTACAAAGTCCCACCGCGCTCTCCCCGTCGCTTCCACGGCTGCTTCCACTGCGTACGACACACGCGCGTCGCACGTTCGACAAAGTGGCTGAGCGCGTCAATATTCATCCAGTAAAAACCACAACGGTCATTGATCATCATCGACAGTGCTCTGCGTATCACTGAGCAGCCGTGCATTGCGTCACCCGGCACGAGACTCACCTTTGCCCAACTCAATATTCTTGTCATTTTGAGACTTTAAATTCAATTCGCTGAAAGTCACCGCAAACGTCTTTAAGAGAGGATGACAGCGGGGATCCAGCATTAATGTTAAATGTGCACGTGCGTACGTTCATACCGTTACACGTTTCTCAAGAAATACAATTAAATGAAAACAAAATTTAAAAAGCATCACACATTTTACCTTCAGTTCTGCTTTCAGCGACGAATGAACAGCTTCCACTTCTTCTTGTTCTGTTTCAGCTGCCATTATCACCGTGCGGACGTGACCCACGTGAGTCAACGACAAGCAAGTTTAATCACTAAACGTGTTACACCGTCAACGTCCATTATCACCGTACGCACGTGACCCACGTGAGTCAACGACAATCAAGTTTAATCACTAAACGTGTTACACCGTCAATGTCATTATCACCGTACGCATGGGACCCACGTGAGTCAACGACAATCAAGTTTAATCACTAAACGTGTTACACCGTCAACGTCCATTATCACCGTACGCACGTGACCCACGTGAGTCAACGACAAGCAAGTTTAATCACTAAACGTGTAACACCGGCAACGTCCAATGGTCGGCGAATGTTGAGAATGTACCTCTGGTTAATGTTTGTTGCACTGAAGAGGACTGGCCCTTCAGATCGTCACACATCTGCCTGGTGGCACGGATCCTTACGGACACGGGCACATTGCAAGGACGGCGGGTCAGAAAACCTTCGTAGGAACGTATCCGCCATTTTAAGGCAAAGCGCATTGCAGATGAAGATATTCTTGGTTCTTTCGGTGAAGTCACGTAGAAGGGAAACAACAAAATAAAAACTCACCGTGATTTTGTTGTTTTCTGTGACTTTACAGAAAGAACCAAAGAACGTGAATTCCTGCAGTCGCGAAAGTTTTTAAAATGAAAATGCAGAGAGGATGTTGGTGTCATCAACAAGTCGCTCGTTTGTTCTGCCGGCGTGACCTCTGACCTCCACCCAGTAGTCCACTCAGGGGCGGAGCAACAGGGGGGGATGGGGGGGGTCAGCCCCCCCCCCTGAAAATTTGGGGAAGTCGGCAATCGGGATAACCGGATATCCGGCTGCTGCAAAATGCCGCAGGCTGCCACCTTGTGATGCCACCTTGTGTGCTGCCCTGCAGGCTGTCACCTTGTGCTGCCCTGCAGGCTGCCACCTCGTGTGCTGCCCTGCAGGCTACCACCTTGTGTGCTGCCCTGCAGGCTACCACCCCGTGTGCTGCCCTGCAGGCTACCACCTTGTGATGTCACCTTGTGCTGCCCTGCAGACTGCCACCTTGTGCTGCTGCCCTGCCAGCTGCCACCTTGTGATGTCACCTTGTGTGCTGCCACCTCGTGCTGCCCTGCAGGCTGCCACCTTGTGCTGCCCTGCAGGCTGCCACCTTGTGTGCTGCCCTGCAGGCTGTCACCTTGTGCTGCCCTGCAGGCTACCACCTTGTGCTGCCACCTTGTGATGTCACCTTGTGATGTCACCTCGTGCTGCCCTGCAGGCTGCCACCTTGTGTGCTGCCCTGCAGGCTGCCACCTTGCGTGCTGCCCTGCAGGCTGCTTGAGCGGCAGCCTTGCGAACTTATCGAACTTACTGGCCACGTCGGCGGCTCCGACCTATTAATAAACTCCGCAGCTCAAATCCAATAATTAGTTTTATACATTTGTGGTGCCCATTGGAAAACACAAACACACTGAGATATCTCAGAATGTTGAAGTCAGCAACCCCCCCAAAGTCAAAATCCTGGCTCCTCGCCCCTGAGTCCACCGGACATCTCTGAAATCTACCGGACATTTGTTACAAAAAAAAGAGCTTCATTGCTCTTCGGGTTTCTCCAGTAAGTTTAGGAACCTAAACAGAGGACAAAGATGAAATTCGAGGGAAATGAATAACTTCTTACTTCTCCATTAAATCTCCTTTGATGTCAATCACGTCTTGAAGTTGCGCGCTGAGGTGTACATTTTCAAGCTGAAAGGAAACACGACACACACACTTCGCTGAGGTGACGCATACCGCTTCAACACAGTTGTCTGATAATTGTTATCTGACACACAGCACTGATAATGACGTTCGGGTTTCATAAAGCATCGTCAATCATGCAGACAAAGCGATCGCTGAGGAACCACAGACACGAATCTTATTGCTGTCCAGTTGAAGCTACAAACAGATTAGAAGCACCTTTAAATTATTGTCTTGGCAAACCAAGTGTTTCTCTATTTTAGTTAACAATGACGAATGATGAGTGGACACAATTACCAATCATAATGATGACTATGGGGAATCCACAAAAACAACCTAATCGTGATTATAACCAGACGAAATTAATGAGTCTGAAACAATATGCAAATGTAGCAACGTTATTTGAGATGCCACTGCATCTCCCATTGAGCACGGTTGGCTACGTACGGTGTGAAAGAAGTTCAACATACACACACGTAGCACGGTTGGCTACGTACTGTGAAAGATGTTCAACATACACACACATAGCACGGTTGGCTACGTACGGTGTGAAAGAAGTTCAACAAACACACACACAGCACGGTTGGCTACGTACGGTGTGAAAGATGTTCAACATACACACACGTAGCACGGTTGGCTACGTACGGTGTGAAAGATGTTCAACATACACACACACATAGCACGGTTGGCTACGTACGGTGTGAAAGAAGTTCAACATACACACACGTAGCACGGTTGGCTACGTACGGTGTGAAAGAAGTTCAACATACACACACATAGCACAGGTGGCTACGTACGGTGTGAAAGAAGTTCAACAAACACACACATAGCACGGTTGGCTACGTACGGTGTGAAAGAAGTTCAACATACACACACGTAGCACGGTTGGCTACGTACGGTGTGAAAGATGTTCAACATACACACACATAGCACGGTTGGCTACGTACGGTGTGAAAGAAGTTCAACACACACACACACATAGCACGGTTGGCTACGTACGGTGTGAAAGATGTTCAATATACACACACAGCACGGTTGGCTACGTACGGTGTGAAAGAAGTTCAACATACACACAGTGCACTGAGGAAAACCAAACCTGATCATTGGCTACGTGTCTACGTCAAAAGATTGATGAAGTTTACCGATTAGCTGACAATAAATGTTTGGGTTTGGAGAAATGAGGAGCCACTCACACCAACATTGAATGAAAGCGTTTCACTGCTTTAGTCGACAAGACTAAGAGATTTATTTTTGGTTCTTTCGGTAAAGTCACCACGTAGAAGGGAAACAATAAAGTAATAAAAATATAAAACAATATAATTCTCACGACGTTTCGACGGCAACACAAGCAATCATCGTCAGGTGTGAAAACCACAGAAAGAAAATTTTAAAAAAGTGGCGGTGACATTTTTTTCTTGCGGTGGTTTTCACACCTGATGATGATCGCTTGCGTTGCAGTCGAAACGTCGTGAGAATTTTATTGTTTTAAATTTTTATTATTTTATTTTTTCCCTTCTACGTGGCGACTTTACCGAAAGAATCAAGAAGAAGACGAAGAAGAGATTTGAAGTTTACGTCACTGCAGGAATCCATAATCTTTGGTTCATTCGGTAAAGTCACCACCACGTAGAAGGGAAACAATAAAATAATAAAAAATATCAAACAATAAAAGTCTCACGACGTTTCGACTGCAACACAAGCAATCATCATCAGGTGTGAAAACCACAGCAAGAATTTTTTTTTAAAGAGCGGCGGTGAAAATTGTTTTCTTGCTGTGGTTTTCACACCTGACGATGATCGCTTGCGTTGCAGTCGAAACGTCATGATAATTTGATCGTTTTAAATTTGTATTATTTTATTGATTCCCTTCAACGTGGCGGTGACTTTACCGAAAGAACCAAGAATATGAATCCCTGCAGTCACGAAATATTTAAATAAAAATTTAATAAGACTAAGAGATTTGAAGTTTTTCGTCACCGCAGGAATCCACAGTCTTTGCTTTCATTCAAGTAAAGTCGCGTAGCGCGTATAAAAATACAACACAAAATAATAAATCAAATCACGACGTTTCCATCGCGACACCACAGGCGGCGGTCGTCCTCAGGCGAAAATAAAAATTAAACCTCTTGCTGCTGCTGCTGTTGTTGTTGTTGTGACAGGACTCTCTCGCTGGTTCAGCAGTTCCACTGCAGGGATTACTTTTTTTACCGCCCTAGGACAAAGCGCTTGAGGTGTTGCGATCGAAACGTCGTGGACATTTTATCATCTTTATACCTACCACGTGACTTTACCGAAGTAACCAAAGATTAAAGGCCAAGAGAATGACCGCGCGCAATGCACAAATACTCCGCGGAAACTCGACAAGTCGTCGGCCCGCAAACCAACTCAGCCACCCCTAGCAACAAAATGCATTCGCTTGTTTCTCTAAATAGCAGTAACACTAAATCACTCATATTACGGGAATACAAACGCTTTATTTTTTTAAACGCAGCTACGAGGTTTTTTTTTAGGGGGGGCGCATTTAGACCCGAGGGTTAAGGTCGTTTTTCCTCACCTAATTTTTAAATATCACGAGTTTAATTTAATAATAATAATGACGTACATTGTAATTACTCTCCGGATCAGCCTGCATCACAACCCCGCGAACCACCCGGAGGAGCATGGAGGACCACCGGTGGTACGGGGGAGGGAGGGAGGGTGACCACACTGTGAGAAGCACTGCTTTAGAGAAATAAGACCACTTACTGCTGCTGCTGTTGCCCACCTGTGTTACTCACAGCCCTGAGGACCACCCGGAGGAGCGTGGTGGACCACCGGTGATACCGGGGGTGAGTGACCACACTGAGAAGCACTGCTTTAGAGAAATGAGACCACTTACTGCTGCTGCTACCCACCTGTGTTTGTCGAGTTGATTTCTGCAGAGCGTCGGCCGTCTCCTGGGCCATTCTGACAGCTTCCTCCTTTTTGCTGAGCTCAGAGTGAACTCTGACCTTCCACATGTTCAACTTGTTCATTTCACAGCGCAAAGAATTGTACGTCCTTGACACGTGATCTTTATTCTGCGAAGAAAAAAAAACAACCAAACACAACACACGGCATGAGGAGCGTGTGTCAGCAGCTTCCCAAGCCGTAGTGTCGTGAACACATCAAGATTTTCCGCTGCCCGATGACCGATCATTCGCGATAAACGTTCTTGGGTTGGCTCGCGTAAGTGTGTGTCGTTACCCTCCACCACCCGACCCAGCCAGTGAGGTTTGTCACGTAAACAAAACGCGCCAGTGAATTACTACTTCGGCCCACCGGTGTGTCGGAGAGTAAATCCACAACATTTACACATTCATACTTTACGCGATATAACCCAAAAAACATTTATTATACGAATATAATTGGTCGTGAAAGCCTACGTGTTGAACTGATTATTATTACTCCATTTCAACCGAAAACTCGATCAAGTCATGTACAAGCACAAATACACGGTTTTTTTATTTTTTAAATTAACTTTCCCTTAAAACGTCTTTGCCAAGTGCTGTGAACGTAAAAAGGTTTAAGGCGCAGATCTGAAATTGTTTGATCGTAATCACTGCTGGCAAAAGGGCCTCCACTAGAGGGCGCTCAGTAGAGGCTGAACTCTTCCACGCTGTTCAAGACGTCTTGGAAGAAAAACCCTCACTAGGGGCTGAACTCTTCCACGCTGGGGAGACGTCTTGGTAGAGAAACCCTCACTAGGGGCTGAACTCTTCCACGCTGTTCAAGACGTCTTGGAAGAGAAACCCTCCCTAGGGGCTGAACTCTTCCACGCTGGGGAGACGTCTTGGTAGAGAAACCCTCACTAGGGGCTGAACTCTTCCACGCTGTTCAAGACGTCTTGGAAGAGAAACCCTCCCTAGGGGCTGAACTCTTCCACGCTGGGGAGACGTCTTGGTAGAGAAACCCTCACTAGGGGCTGAACTCTTCCACGCTGTTCAAGACGTCTTGGAAGTGAAACCCTCACTAGGGGCTGAACTCTTCCACGCTGTTCAAGACGTCTTGGTAGAGAAACCCTCACTAGGGGCTGAACTCTTCCACGCTGTTCAAGACGTCTTGGAAGAGAAACCCTCACTAAGGGCTGAACTCTTCCACGCAGTTCAAGACGTCTTCGTAGAGAAACCCTCACTAGGGGCTGAACTCTTCCACGCTGTTCAAGACGTCTTAAAGGAAGAGAAACCCTCACTAGGGGCTGAACTCTTCCACGCTGTTCAAGACGTCTTGGTTAGAGAAACCCTCACTAGGGGCTGAACTCTTCCATGCTGTTCAAGACGTCTTGGTAGAGAAACCCTCACTAGGGGCTGAACTCTTCCACGCTGTTCAAGACGTCTTGGAAGAGAAACCCTCACTAGGGGCTGAACTCTTCCACGCTGTTCAAGACGTCTTGGTAGAGAAACCCTCACTAGGGGCTGAACTCTTCCACGCTGTTCAAGACGTCTTGGAAGAGAAACCCTCACTAGGGGCTGAACTCTTCCACGCTGTTCAAGACGTCTTGGAAGAGAAACCCTCACTAGGGGCTGAACTCTTCCACGCTGTTCAAGACGTCTTGGTAGAGAAACCCTCACTAGGGGCTGAACTCTTCCACGCTGTTCAAGACGTCTTGGTAGAGGAACCCTCACTAGGGGCTGAACTCTTCCACGCTGTTCAAGACGTCTTGGTAGAGAAACCCTCACTAGGGGCTGAACTCTTCCACGCTGTTCAAGACGTCTTGGAAGTGAAACCCTCACTAGGGGCTGAACTCTTCCACGCCTGTTCAAGACGTCTTGGTAGAGGAAACCCTCACTAGGGGCTGAACTCTTCCACGCTGTTCAAGACGTCTTGGTAGAGAAACCCTCACTAGGGGCTGAACTCTTCCACGCTGTTCAAGACATCTTGGAAGAGAAACCCTCACTAGGGGCTGAACTCTTCCACGCTGTTCAAGACGTCTTGGAAGAGAAACCCTCACTAGGGGCTGAACTCTTCCACGCTGTTCAAGACGTCTTGGTAGAGAAACCCTCACTAGGGGCTGAACTCTTCCACGCTGTTCAAGACGTCTTGGTAGAGGAACCCTCACTAGTGGCTGAACTCTTCCACGCTGTTCAAGACGTCTTGGTAGAGGAACCCTCACTAGGGGCTGAACTCTTCCACGCTGTTCAAGACGTCTTGGAAGAGAAACCCTCACTAGGGGCTGAACTCTTCCACGCTGTTCAAGATGTCTTGGTAGAGAAACCCTCACTAGAGACTGAACTCTTCCACGCTGTTCAAGATGTCTTGGTAGAGAAGCCCTCACTAGGGGCTGAACTCTTCCACGCTGTTCAAGACGTCTTGGAAGAGAAACCCTCACTAGGGGCTGAACTCTTCCACGCTGTTCAAGACGTCTTCGTAGAGAAACCCTCACTAGGGGCTGAACTCTTCCACGCTGTTCAAGACGTCTTGGAAGAGAAACCCTCACTAGGGGCTGAACTCTTCCACGCTGTTCAAGACGCCTTGGAAGTGAAACCCTCACTAGGGGCTGAACTCTTCCACGCTGTTCAAGACGTCTTGGTAGAGGAACCCTCACTAGGGGCTGAACTCTTCCACGCCGTTCAAGACGTCTTGGTAGAGAAACCCTCACTAGGGGCTGAACTCTTCCACGCTGTTCAAGACGCCTTGGAAGTGAAACCCTCACTAGGGGCTGAACTCTTCCACGCCGTTCAAGACGTCTTGGTAGAGGAACCCTCACTAGGGGCTGAACTCTTCCCGCTGTTCAAGACGTCTTGGTAGAGAAACCTTCACTAGGGGCTGAACTCTTCCACGCTGTTCAAGACATCTTGGAGAGAAACCCTCACTAGGGGCTGAACTCTTCCACGCTGTTCAAGACGTCTTGGAAGAGAAACCCTCACTAGGGGCTGAACTCTTCCACGCTGTTCAAGACGTCTTGGTAGAGAAACCCTCACTAGGGGCTGAACTCTTCCACGCGGTTCAAGACGTCTTGGTAGAGGAAGCCCTCACTAGGGGCTGAACTCTTCCACGCTGTTCAAGACGTCTTGGAAGAGAAACCCTCACTAGGGGCTGAACTCTTCCACGCTGTTCAAGATGTCTTGGTAGAGAAACCCTCACTAGGGGCTGAACTCTTCCACGCTGTTCAAGACGTCTTGGAAGAGAAACCCTCACTAGGGGCTGAACTCTTCCACGCTGTTCAAGACGTCTTAAAGGAAGAGAAACCGTCACTAGGGGCTGAACTCTTCCACGCTGTTCAAGACGTCTTGGTAGAGGAACCCTCACTAGGGGCTGAACTCTTCCACGCTGTTCAAGACGTCTTGGAAGTGAAACCCTCACTAGGGGCTGAACTCTTCCACGCTGTTCAAGACGTCTTGGAAGTGAAACCCTCACTAGGGGCTGAACTCTTCCACGCCGTTCAAGACGTCTTGGTAGAGGAACCCTCACTAGGGGCTGAACTCTTCCACGCTGTTCAAGACGTCTTGGTAGAGAAACCCTCACTAGGGGATGAACTCTTCCACGCTGTTCAAGACATCTTGGAAGAGAAACCCTCACTAGGGGCTGAACTCTTCCACGCTGTTCAAGACGTCTTGGAAGAGAAACCCTCACTAGGGGCTGAACTCTTCCACGCTGTTCAAGACGTCTTGGTAAGAGAAACCCTCACTATGGGCTGAACTCTTCCACGCTGTTCAAGACGTCTTGGAAGAGAAACCCTCACTAGGAGGACTGAACTCTTCCACGCTGTTCAAGACTGTCTTGGTAAGAGAAAGCCCTCACTAGGGCTGAACTCTTCCACGCTGTTCAAGAATGGCTTGGTAAGAGAAACCTCACTAGGGGCTGAACTCTTCACGCTGTAAGACGTCTTGGAAGAGAAACCCTCACTAGGGGCTGAACTCTTCCACGCTGTTCAAGACGTCTTAGGTAGAGAAAGCCCTCACTAGGGGCTGAACTCTTCCACGCTGGTCAAGACGTCTGGTAGAGGAACCCTCACTAGGGGCTGAACTCTTCCACGCTGTTCAAGACGTCTTGGTAGAGAAACCCTCACTAGGGGCTGAACTCTTCCACGCTGTTTCAAGACATCTTGGAAGAGAAACCCTCACTAGGGGCTGAACTCTTCCACGCTGTTCAAGACGTCTTGGAAGAGAAACCCTCACTAGGGGCTGAACTCTTCCACGCTGTTCAAGACCTCTTGGTAGAGAAACCCTCACTAGGGGCTGAACTCTTCCACGCTGTTCAAGACGTCTTGGTAAGAGACACCCTCACTAGGGGCTGAACTCTTCCACGCTGTTCAAGACGTCTTGGTAAGAGGAAACCCTCACTAGGGGCTGAACTCTTCCACGCTGTTCAAGACGTCTTGGAAGAGAAACCCCTCACTAGGGCTGAACTCTTCCACGCTGTTCAGATGTCTTGGTAGAGAAACCCTCACTAGAGCTGAACTCTTCCACGCTGGTTCAAGATGTCTTGGTAGATAAACCCTCACTAGGCGCCTGAACTCTTCCTACGCTGTCAAGACGGCTTGGAAGTCGAATACCTATCACTAGGGGTCTGTAACTCTTCCACGCTGTTCAAGACGCTCTTTGCGTAGAGGAACCCTCACTAGGGGGCTGAACTCTTCCACGCTGTTCAAGACGTCTTGGTAAGAGAAACCCTCACTAGGGCCTGAACTCTTTCCTACGCTGTTCAAGAGGCAATTTGGAAGAGGAAACCCTCACTAGGGGCTGAACTCTTCCACGCTGTTCAAGACGTCTTGAAGTAGAAACCCCCACTAGGGGCTGAACTCTTCCACGCCGTTAAAGACGTCTTGGTGAGAAACCCTCACTAGGGGCTGAACTCTCCACGCTGTTCAAGACGTCCTGGTAGAGGAACCCTCACTAGGGGCTGAAACTCTTCCACGCTGTTCAAGACGTCTTGGAGAGAACCCTCACTATGGGCTGAACTCTTCCACGCTGTTCAAGACGTCTGGTAGAGAAACCCTCACTAGGGGCTGAACTCTTCCACGCTGTTCAAGACGTCTTGGTAGAGAAACCCTCACTAGGGGCTGAACTCTTCCACGCTGTTCAAGACGTCTTGGAA